ATTTCGAAATGCCTACCGTTGTTGACAATTCATGATTGACATCGATCGAAGATTTTTTTTATTTTCTATTTTTTTTTTTTAGTTGATTACTATTCCTACTCTAAATTTTTGTTATAACTTCTTAATAAAGCTCTATATGACCTATGTTTATATAANTAATTCAATGTTCCCGTTCGCCGTTGAAAAGGAGCGGCATGCTTGAATCGAACGGAAACGGGGATCCTAGTCATGGCACGGCCCTGTAAATCGAATTTACATAGCTTTCGAGCGGTTTCGCAACATTGACGCCGTTCGACGCATAATTCTCCTTCGATAACCATTCGTCATCCGGCTTCGATAGTAACATGCAATCGGATGGAATTGTTCGGTGGGTGGGGGGCTTGAAAAAAAAGAAGACAAAGAAATGAGGGAAGAAAAGGAGAACGGAGGTAGGATGGAGATGGCAGGGAAGCCGGTTCCTTCGCCTTTCGAGGCTCCTCTCTCTCTCTCTCTCTCTCCCCTCCCTCATTCATCCTGTGCACACCGCCGTGAAAAAGTAAATAGCGACGTGGAAAAACAAATCCGTACTTTGGAATCCAGCCGCGTCGAGTTAGTTCTCGCTCTGGAGAACTTTTCCGGGGGGCTGAGCAGGTGGCCGGGCCGCGGGGGGTGGCGCGCGAGGGCTTTGTACGTGCAGGCACGTCGTTCGGGGGCCGCGCCTCGGCAAGAAAAAATGTTGTACGAAAGCAATTTGCGGGGGTGATCGATGGCGGCGGGGACGCGACCGTAAAGTCATCCTGTTTTCGATTTAAAAAAAACCGCCCAGTCAGCTCCAAAATGATTGCCTCTTTCTACGATTCCACCGGAAATTCTACGCTCACGTTCCTGCCTTCTCGGCGAACCTCCTCCCATTGTTTCTCGCGTTTATCGTTCTCCGATACTACGCTCGATTATTCCTAGAATACGCGATCTCTGCGTCCGAAACGTGCGCGCCGCATCATCTTTCTTTCACACTTCTTCGTAGAACCTGTTGAAGATCCCCAGGATCTAGCTAGACTGCGGATCTTTATGCAAGATAAAAATTGTTAGTCGTACGAAGCGGTTACCTTGAAATCATCAACAACTATTTCACCGACAATGTCTTGAAATCACACGATTTCAACGACAACGCATTTCACTGACATTGTTTATACAAGGTGTCCCAGGTTTTAATGTTCAAACTTTGTCAGTGTATTCTATGGTACAAAGTAAGAAAAAAATGTTATATAAACATAGGTCATATAGAGCTTTATTAAGAAGTTATGACAAAAATTCAGAATAGGAATAGTAATCAACTTGCTGTTACTGCGAGCATTGGCTTGAATAGATCAGCACATGCCGTGTGTTTATGTAAGCTGTGTTTATTAACACATTTCGAAATGCCTACCGTTGTTGACAATTCATGATTGACATCGATCGAAGATTTTTTTTATTTTCTATTTTTTTTTTTTAGTTGATTACTATTCCTACTCTAAATTTTTGTTATAACTTCTTAATAAAGCTCTATATGACCTATGTTTATATAACATTTTTTTCTTACTTCGTGCCATAGAATATACTGACAAAGTTTAAACATTAAAACCTGGGACACCCTGTATACCGTTACAACGTTTATATAACATAATAAGAAATGTTATTATCGACACTTAGAACTTTTGGCAATAAATACGCGTATCGTACACACTTATTGTTAGCGCTGTGTTCTACATATTATTTTCGGAAAAAGAAAAATGGATTTATCAACAGAAGGTCACGGTACTGGGAATTAAGTGCAACTGTTGCAAATAGCACTGCACATTCAGATTCTTCTTTAATAACTCTTACGAAAGGATTTTTCATTCTAAGTATTCAACATTTTGTCGGACAAATTAAGTTCGTTAATATTGTTTGGTTCATCAGATTTATTTTTTCGTCGATTATATAACGCTTGCTGTTTCAAAACATAATTGCTCGGAAAATGTGATTGAATCATTTTCTCTGCCTCTACAGTCGCATTTCTGACAATCTTGCATGGTCTCTCGTCGGTAATTACAGCTAGTTAATTCATTTCAAACTGTAATAATTGAATGATTGTTTTGTAGGGTCATGTGAACGAATAATGTATTTTCCATTTACAAATACTGTACTTATCTTTTTCTGCACTCACAACTGTTCCCACTTATGCCATTTTCTTTCTTCTCTTTCGTCTCTATTTCTGCATTTCTTATACGCGAAGTGTCAATAATAACATTTGAGTCGTTTATTTTGAAAGTGGCATAAGTCACTTTGTTTTTAAGTCGATATATTTAAGGGTTTGCGTTTTAACACGTTTAAAAATATGGATGCTAACTTTCGAGAAGATTTACATTAAAAAATCACGACTTTTCATTACGGTAAAGTGACTTATGCCACTTTCAAAATAAACGGCTCATTTGTCGATGAAACGAGAGTCGATGTAAACATTTGTCGATGATTTCAACGTGTCGGTATGTAAACAATGCCGGTGAAATGCGCTGTCGCTGGAATCGTGTCGATGAAAACATTGTCGGTGTAATAATTGTTGGTGATTTCAAGGTAACCCGTATAAAGGCAGTCTACTCGACGTTGAGTCATCATTATCAATAAAGGGTCAATTTGACGTCACGTTACCACCTCTACCGTTGTTAACCCGAGAAAGATAACCTACGTCGCAGAGGCGCCTGCGAAGACTGTTGATTTTTGTTAATTTTTCATAGAGGTCTAGTGATTTAAGTTTAAAATTACTTAAAATATAAAAAAATATAATATAAATGCATTTTATTTTTACAATAATGCCAAACCTTTAAAATGACTAGATTAACTTAAATAAATATCCATTGTTAGTATAAAATTGACGCCTTAGAAAAGCATGCGCCTCTGAAGCGTATGGTTATCTTTTACGTACGTTGTCATATGGTTATCTTTCTAGGGTTAAAACAGTGGTCATCGCTTGAAGATGAAATAAGGATGTACTTTTTCTGTTGATAGTCTCAATAAATTGAAAATGGTGTCACGAGATCCTTTCAATCGTCTGATGTCCTCACCGTTATTTATTTCGCTAGCTGCTTTTGTCAGAAATGCATAAATCCACAGTCTAAATATGTATGAAATACGTGTATGCTTCATTATGTGAGAATAATGTATAGTAATTTATTGCAAATTATGTACGTAAAATGAAGACGATAATCGTCACTTTGTGAACGAGTTTGTGGATAAAATAAATGAAAACTGCTTAAAATGTAAAGACTATATAAATCACTTGATAAAAGGTATATATCCTCGACTCCTTTCGCATCTGCATACAATACCGAAAACACTTTATTCAGAGCTCTCCCTCTCAGTCCTCGGAGAAAAGCCGATTGCACGATATATGTATACGTATGTACATACCTCGCATCTTTATCGTCTGGGTACTCTCCCTGATGAATTTCAAGGTCGCCGTCATCATTGTCTCTTCCACAATATGATCCTGAACGTCGTTCTCCGAATCTCATGACCGTGGCCTCCGTTTTGAAGTTTTTTGCTTTTTAACCTTCTGCAGTCGGAGCCATTTGAACTTGAAATTCAAAATAGTATTTCGGACCATTTCCATTTTATATAATCTGGTTCATCTTAAACATATGAAATTGAATTTTGTAAGAGTTACACCTTTAACAGTTTTTTTAAATACGAACAAATTTGATAACCTTATAATTACTTTGACGCGCGATATAACAATTTTTAATGACGCCATAGAATCGCCACTTAAGTGGTAAGATTTACCTTTTGCACTCGAAGCCATTTTAACTGTAAATCCAAAATAATTTTTCTGACTTATGGTGTTTCCATTTTATATGACAAAGTGCATTTTATGTATATAAAATTGAGTCTCGCGATGACTTGTGACGACAGTCACAACTTTTAACAATTGTTTAAATTTAAACTTTATTAACACTATGCCGTCCGGTGGCATCACGCTGGTGCCATGCAAAAACTATCTGTTGTATGCCGGTAGTGCCACTTTGGCGCCATTTTAAAAAACTGAAATAACATTTGAACTATATTTCTTGGGTGTTAAAAGGCAGCAAACCAACTATAGCATTGTGCTTATTTAACTAAGAATTAAGTACGAAAATTCTTGGATGACATATCTTAATTTTAGGAATTCATATTACCGCCATCTTCGACATTTTTTTTCAAATCTAAAATTTCCAAGCTATTATGCCGGCGTCAAACAAAAGAATCACATCTAAGATCTGCGGACGGCATGGTGTTAATATAAAAATTATCATGGAACGTGAATTAACAATTTTAGTGGTGCCTCAGAGTCACCACTCGAGTGCAAAGGGTTAACATCAACCTTTCCAAAGTTTCGATTTGTTTCTCATTGCAATCTCTATGCAGACGATTTCATATAAATTTTTACGCGGTGACTATTCGTTGCCATACTTCAAGCTTAAAGCCGCGGTGAATGCGGTGCTTCGGTGAGAAAAAAAATGATGTTTGCCTTGCAATGGATTTTCATGTAAGACGGACCCCATTTCCTGAAGCATCCGGTACGCCTTATTCGATGGATAATCTCGAACGAGACGGAGGATCGTGCCTCGAAGTGGGAAATCCTAATAAAAGCAGACAGGCGGCACGGAAACGAGGAAAGTCCGCGCGTTCCGCGTCAGGAAAGAGAGCCGGGGTGCCGAGCGAGAGGCGTAGGGGGATAAAGATTCTCTTCCCCTTCGATGCTCATAGAAATTCCGTGGCGTTTGCTAGCAGTTGCCGGGACCCAGGACTCGGGACCCAGAACGCCGCGCCGTAAGCAAAGTGCCACGCTCGTACGGAGCCATACATAACCGGTGGGTAGATAAGGCAGGGTCGAGTCAGCCGGAGTAATGTATCTCCCCGACGTACGGAATGAAAATTTACATCTCGAGCTTTCGGCTATCCCCGCGTTTAACGCGAATTGTTGCCGCATACGAGCCGCTAACCCTATCGCTTTCTTTCTGTTACAGGGACAAGGTGTTCAGGCTAAATCTGAGCAACATCAATCACTCCAACTGCGAGGTGAGTGCACTTCCTCTACCGTTAACGTCCGCTTCGTTTCTCAAAGACTCTCGCTGTCTCGTTTCAACGCCGAACGCATCGGACCACAAGCGACTGCATTGAAATTTCTTGCGCGAATTGCGAAAGTCAATTTATTTGGTGTATTTGCTCGACTTTTCATTCCGACCATTTGATGATTTCAGTGAAGATTGATACATTCTATGCAATTATCAGACTGCGGATTCTTATGCAATATAAAAACTTTTCAACTGAATTGTAAACAATGGAAATGAGACAAGAATGTGTTCCTTCTTTTAACATTGTGAATAAACTGAAGAGAATGTGGCAATGTTATTAAATTTTTCTGATCTGTTTCCGTATTCCTAGTTTTCTAGTCGTTTTTATCGTAAATGCTTAAAATCCGCAAGTAATCCGCAGTAATTAGTAATTATTGTATTTAATTAGCTTATTTGCTTTGTTATAATACCGTTTTCCTGTAATATCTTATTCTTTCGGTGAAAACGGATTCATCGGTCTTAAACGTATTGTAAAATACATCTTTTCGGAGCATTAAATAAATATGTAAGCGTTAAATTGATCGATGTGCATTGTCCGTCTCGATTACAAGGAACAGAGATTCGATGGCAATGTATCCTCATTCTTTATGATTTTAATAAATTGAAGACAACTGTTAACTGAACGGTTAACAGCTAATTCGGATAACAGAACAGTCATTTAGATGCAGCGCTGGATCGAATTCGGATTACGTATACGTCGCTTGTGATAGCGGAACGTGTTCAAATATTGGAGGATTCAAACATGCCAAGTACGGACGTCTTACCTTTCGCCTAACCGTGTTTGTTACAAATGCATAGAATCCGCAGCCTGGCTATGAATAATTCTTCGAGCCTGGTTTAACTATGTATCCTAGAGTGGAGAAACATTTACAGTCGTATCACTAGAGAATGAGTTGGTCAAGCACAGAACCGGAAAAACATTCAAGGAATTTCAGAATACATTCGAACAATTTTCAGCGTATTAAAATGATTCAGAAATGAGACAAATGTCTATGTAGCTTCTGCATTTTGCAACGAATGTACGCAATTTTAATTTTCCGTAAATATCCGCTTATCGCTGCTATCGAATGACTTCGATTCCAATTCCAATGTCTTTATTTAATGTGAGAGGACTTACAACTTCGTCCTGATACACAGATTACATACATTTTGTTCATATTACGTATTTTCCATTTTATAAACTGAAACATTTCTTTTCAATGTATTATTTAACATTATCCAAAAATACGATACTATAATGTAAAAAGGAGCAAAACTATTGCTATAAAACAAAACTCTATGTATCGATATACAATAAGTATATACAGGATATCCCAAAAATGTTTCGCAATCCGGAAATGGCGGGTTCCTCAGATCATTTGAAGCAGCTTCTTCCTTTATAAAAATTGTCTCCGAGGCACCGTTAACGAGTTATTAACGAAAAATAGTGAGGCGCGAGGCGACCGAGCCAATCAGCGGAACTGTGGGATTCGACCGCTCCATCGCTGGCGCCGTTGGCTCGGTCGCCTCGCGCCAACCGAGCTCGCCTCTCATTGGTCACTGTTTTTCGTTAATAACTCGTTAACGGTGCCTCGGAGAAAATTTTTCTAAAGGAAAAAGTTGCTTCGAATGACCTGAGGAACCCGCCACTTTCGGATTACGAGACATTTTTGGGACACCCTGTAGATATTTTATCAGTCTTTACATTCACCCTTCTAGGCCAATATTTTACGTTATATTGGTTTCTTGATATCACAAATTAGTGTATTGTTACACATCTTTTTCTATCCAAGCATTGATATAAATCTAAATATCTATCCTGTCGCATTTTCACCCGATAGTTTTCTCACAAGTACGCGGCATCGAGGGCTGCCAAAATGGCTGCAATCGGAGGATAAATCACCGATTCGGATTCGAAGCCCGGTGACAGAGAGATACCACAATGATTTTACGCGAGTTCTTCCGTTCGAGCGGTCTCGCATCGGCAACGTCCCGAAACCGCCTTCTGTCGCAGAATCACGCTTCGATTAGCATCAAACGTCGCGTAACGTTTGACCTCTCCCCGATCAACCGGGGAAACACGGGCATGTCCGTAAATCCGAGAACCTTCTTCGCAGTTCCCTATGAAACTGTCAATCACGTCGCTGGAAACGTCGTCCGCGCGTCATCGCGACAGCTGACGCGACTCCCTTTCTCATTCTCTCTTCTGCCACGATCTCTGCAGATCGCTAAGCGATCCATTGTGAAGAGACGGTGCGTGGCCCGATTTTCACCACCGCGCTCTTTCATCCGCCGGCTTTTCTTTCGTTCCGGACGCACGTATTCGTCAGCGCGCCGCGCCGCGCCGTATCGAACAATCCACGTCGGAGGCTTAATGCACGCCGCGGCCGCTGAAAATGGATTCGCGCGTTGGAAATTCCGTGACATTTCGCGGGGCCTTTTCAGAAAGCCAGCTTTTTTCGGGCGCGCGTGCAACGAACGGGAATTTCGGCATTTAAAGGCAATCCCTGCTGTCTGAGGCGCCGCGTCGCCGAGGGTGCAACCCTTTCTCGTTTTGCTTCGGGTTCCCTCGTTTTTCGGAGCTTTGAGGTACGATCGCACGTCGAACTGTCTGTGTGCGGGCCGTTTGGTCCTTTCATGATGATAATTGGACCGCGAATGATGCGCGTTCGCGACAGATCTCTCTGGTAAGGCACGTTCTGAATTCGTGCATTGTTTTTCGTACTTGCCGCAAAGGCCGCAGAAATCGAAAAACGTCAAAGAGTTAACATTCGTTTTGTAACGCAAGATTATACAAGACAGTACACGAAATCTCTTGAATAAACTTCAGTTTTTATGCTCTCGTATCGACGTATTATTTTCGATTAACACGTTGAATGCCACAGAATTTGGCAGAGTTTTTACAGAAATTGCCCGTGGCGCCACGATGAATTTTCTTTTATGTGATACATATAATGTTGAAATATTATCTGCTATAGATAAGTTACAATGTATAACCGTATTTGACATGTTAATTGCGATAATAATACAAAATTTTAGATATTGACATTTGTTTGAAATTATATATATTTCTATCAATTTGGGCGCGCCGGTCACCGGTGGCCCCCATGGCGTCACCGCCAAGTTAAGTGCCGGTCACCGGTGACCCTCGTGGCATTCAACGTGTTAAAGTAGATACAGGAATATTTAGAATTATTTAGCATGTCTCTGCAGTTTGCTCGAGACAGAAGCATCGCGGTATTCGTAGCGAAACATTTGTATCGATTATGTATTTAATCCGGCGGTGACCTCTTTTGTTTTCCGATTCGGCGATCGGTTTCCGGTGGAACGTCGGTCCATCGGTCTTGTTAAATTTTTCGCACGCACAGGTGGGCATCCCATCCGGAGGCGCAAGGCATGGCATGGCCTAACGGCGCTCGTTTTCACCGAATACGGCCTGGGTTCGTTCGCTCAGATTGAATTGGAATTGCTTTGTCGAAGCCGACGTCGGTGTCGGCGATGTTAGCCAGCCCCGGTGGTCAACTGCAGCCCGATTGTTGGGTCTGTCGGGAAAGGAAAATTGCTTTTTAACCCTCTCGAACGATCGCAAGGCTCGACGAGATGGCCGGCGCCGAACGCCACTTCCGTTCGGTCCGTTGCAATGGTTTTTACCGAAGACCGAAATCCGATCCCCGCGACGCGACCTCTCGGTCCTTTTGTCTCCTCTCCTTCCTACCGTTACTCGAAACGCCTCGATCGGAATTGCTATTAACCTTCATTCCGCCACTTCTTTCCGTCGTCTTCGTTCCTGCCGCTCCTTTTGTCCGCGATCCGTCCCGGCCTCGATAATGGGTTATCTCGGACGGCCAACGAGCCCGACTTTCGATTTGTAGCTCGAATTGCCCCGCGATATTGCTATCAATACTAGAAGTTCACCTGCTGCCGCGTAATTGTTACGCTTCCCACCTTTACGGCATTTTAACTTGCCAATATTAGAACTCCAAATTCTTTAATTCACGATTGTTCACGAAGTATTGCAGAAATAAATATTTGTCTCTTGCAACGCAGACGGACAATTTTCATTTCACGTTTGCGACGTGATTTTACATTTTTTATTTTCAAGTTGTTGAAATTGCAAAGATTCTTTTATAGGAAATTATAGGAAAAAACGATTGAATAAATTTCTTAATTCGAACATCCTCAGGTTTTCTAATCAAACTTAGGAGAGATCTGCATAAATTCTTTAATCACTGTATATATTATATTCTGTAATCTAAAGGGTAATTAGTAAATAATAATAATAATAATAATAATAATAAAAAAATAAAAAATTCGGTCTTGTCAGTTTTATAAAGCAACATAAATTTTTCAGGTTTAGTGTTGGCGATGCATTCATAGGCAATTATTCAATAAAATAATTCTTTTAAACAATATGATATAACTCGCTAAACACCTGAATAAGTACATTTTCGTTAATTTTAATTCAGCAAGGAAAGAACTCGGACAATTATTCACAAAAATTGTTCAATGCATAGAAAATTAGGTTACTTCGCAATTAACAATCTTAAAGCTTCACGATTAAACTGTGTCGCTGCGCACGATTCGTCGCTTCTGACTATTAATGAATTGAGTTATGCAGTGTGTGAACAGGCGGTACACACACGTTTCATCATCATTACGATTCGGAAGCCAAACACTCCCGACCGACCGCATTAAATTCGCATAGCTCGAATTAGAATTTTAATTCGTCGCTGGGACCTCGATATTTTCCAATCCGTTTTTAAACCGAAAAATTCGCGGACCGTCGAAAAGACTATACCATACGTCACCGACATACTGACCGCCGTCCAACTGTCGTCCATCACGCGATTCGTTTTTACGCTTTCGGCGACGAGGCCGTCGTCGTTGATTTTTCCACAATCGAGTATCGAGAGCCCCGGTGCCTCGTGTCGGAATATTACGAACTAAATCACGTCAAAATGTTCA